AGACAGAACACTAAATAAAAATATAATAATAATTATCCTCCCATCTACTATTAGATTTTCCAAGTGACCTTTCAAGTTTAAGGACTAACATTTTATATGCGCTCTGTATATCCTGCCCATCTATCTCGATTCAGTCAGCCCAGTAACGTAAAGAGAGTACAACTTACAAACTTTAGACTTCATGGCTGTCAGGAAATTTTACGCCTTTTATGGATCCATCCATATCCATTACCTGGATTCAACAATCCCGGGATAAGAACCAGTGTCAGGATTTTATGAAATGTAATTAAGCTTCGGGCTTCAAAATAACAATATCATGCAGTCGGTTGGTAACCGTAATTAACTGTTAGAGGGTCGAATGGGGGTAGAACTTCTGAACCCGCCTATAAGGAAGGACTTTGGCTGTTATAAACTATCAGAATATGTAATTCAATCAGCGTAACTTCCGAGTTGTGGGTGATGATGTTTGCATCAAACTGGGAGTAATAAACCACAGAGCAACTGTTGCGGGGGTTGGCATTAGTGATTTGGTTCGCTTTAATCAAAGCGACGTTATTATACGCGGTGAATGACACGCTGTACAGTACAGAGTCACGATATGCATCTGCCAATACACAAGTCTTGCCTTTGCTTACGTCGAACTTTACCCCAAATCATGAACTTCGTTGTATTTTACCTTCGTCTCAATATTTCCTGAGCTGTAACATGCTTATCGCTACAAATAGCGTTCTAATAACCTAATAAGAACTGTCTCGTCTCTCCTTTTTCCATTCAGTTGCGTTCTCTGAGTTGGTAGAAGTGAATATATTCCATCAAATTTGTCACCCTGACGTCTGTTTAATGCCAAGCTTGCAGAAAGGAAATTTGATTTGTGTATAAATGACAGGATTTGGTACGGTGATCCAGCTTGCATGTCAGGACAGCTCAGCTGTGGCGTAGCATTTGATAACACCCCCACCAACACCAAAATATTTTGTATGTAGATTATTTAAAACAGTTACCGATCCATGGACTCCACAAATTCACGTATCTGCCTCTTAAAACTTGGTGGTAACTACACGTACCCCCTGCTTTAACATCCAGTAACTTTTCATTTATCAGGAAGTGTATATATGAGTTTATTATGATTATCAAAATAAACACTAGTTGATCGTTTCAATGTAGACGCTTTCTGATGACGTCGTACTTATTTGTAGACTCGTACGTAAATACCTACGTTTCTGAGGAACCTGTTGTCTCCATCTTCGACCTGAAATTGTAATGGTGTCTTCTGCTATAATTTGTATTGTGAAATGTTTTTATCCGTGTCGAAGGTTTGTGTATTGTGACCTGATGATGACACAATGTTTTTCGAAACATTTTTCCATACTTTTAACAAAACCTAATTCACGTTTAACAGCCTATTTGTTACGTAGATGGTGATAAAGATAATACGACTGTAACTTTTTTTTCAATTCTAAACTAAACGTTATGTCCATATGCGATAAGTGAGACTAATATTGGCAACCGTGAAGTGTTGTATCCATTCTGTTGGTAGCACTGTGCCGTATCCGGACAGATGGTGGTGGGACTGCTACTTCAACCTCAGCACGCGGTGGGCCGTAGATTTTCACGGCCACTTGATCAATATGTGGTTGTGCCTGATCAAACCCCTTTAATTCGCTGGTGATACCTCATGAATAAATCTAAGTTGTCTGTTGGAGGGTCGTCCTTTGTACAAAGCTTTATACATTTATTCAAATCCCACTAGTATGTCAACTGTAGACACCATTACAGTTAATTTATGGTCCGTCATGGAGGTTATTTTAATTGTTCTACTCGGCATGTATCATATTAACCAATCTTCATTCTCTGAGCCATAAATTGCCTTCGTTTCAGGACGTTAACCTGATTTCCTTTGTAGCAAAACGCTGACTTACGTCTTATCATGTCCGTGTGTAGCAAGAACTTTTTACTCGAGTAAACTATTTGTTTTGAAAGTACAGATGTAGTAGTTGGGATGAAAACACACCTACTGGCTGCTGTTGAAATCGTAAGAACTGGGAAATAGACGGTCCGTGACGCTGTTTATTATTATTATTAGTGTTCTGTCTGACGACAGGTCCATATGAACAGGATCCTTCCATCCTTTTCTCGGACTGGGACCTGTTCATATACGTTCTTGGCAGATGATCCAGAAGTGGTTTGCCATTGCCTTCTTCTGTGTGTGAATGGAGTAATTGTTGGGATGCCACGGAGGAAAACTCCGTGTTGCCTAGACCACGGCCTTGCCCAACACAAGTTATAAATTCGGGCACCGCCGGGAATCGAACCCGAGACCCCAGGCTTACAAGGCCAGCGTTCTAACAGCTAGACCACCGTGGCTGGTGACGCTGTACCTGAAAATAATAGACCGAACGTCGCGGCCGAGTTGTTAGCATTCCTTCGTATTTCGGAGGTACTAACTTCAAATCGTTTTCCAGACTGAGGTTTCCTCAGTACCGCCAGGCAAATACCAGTGGACAAAACGTTTGAAAGACGCCATATTTGCCATAGGCGACCCTCGAGATGTCTTTCAACACGAAGACGGAAAATCGACACTGAGAGTCGCGACGTCCCCTCAAGACGCCGTACTTTCCACAAATACACCTTGGAATGCCGTCGGATAAGACTTAGGAAAGCCGACGGAGAGCGTCGCGACGCTAATTGAGGCGTATTTAAGATGGGCGACCCTTGTAATGCTTTTCATGGAACTGGCTTATGGTAGAATTCAGTAGAGCTGAACTGTCTTAGGTTGAAGCGACCGCAGTTAACTTCACTGAAAGATTAAGAGTTTCTAAATTTCGGTGCAAATAATAGGCCTGTGGTATTATTATATTTCAGATACTTAACCCTCTGGTTCTGAGTTTCCAAACTTCGTGTATTTTTTTAATACAGTTGTTCACAGATTTCGGGAGATGTCAAAGTGTCATATGTAACTTAATCTGCGTTTTTAATGTTTTTCGTATCTTTTTTTAAGGTTGCAGAAGCTGATGGAAGATGTCGAAGCTCACAGAAACATCGAACATATCGATAAGGTACGGTTATAGTTAAATTTATTTCGCATTCTAGTGCATATGAAACTCTGAGTGTGTATACATCAGTCTCTCATTGTATGTATATGGGCAAATTAACATGCTCGTCGTCACCACAAAGGATGTTTAAGCAAGAAACAGTTTGAAAAATAGTTCCTTCGTGGCGTCCGATGTGCCCGGGTGTTAATCCGTTGCTGTCCGTCTGCAGGCTGTAATGACGGTGACACTGAACGTTCCCCGAGCTGTGACCCGACCGGCACTCGACCTCTTCGTGCAGAAATTGCTTTGGGAGAGCGAATCAGTGAATTCCAGCGGCCCACCTCTGTCCATAATCAGACTTAAGGTAAGTTTTCTACTTAAAAATGAATTAAATTCATTTGGACCTTTATTTACGCTTACGAAGCCAGATTTTTCATTTGTTTTCTCAACCTGGTCTTTAATGTGATTTGTCGTGTGTCTTCGAAGGTTGAAAGTTGAAAGTGCATTGTTTTCTGGTTATGAGGTTAGGTTAGGTTGTCCCTGGTACGTAACTAATTACCACGCCGTGCAGATTTATGGAGGACTGGTTATATAGCTCGCACATTCTTAATGTCGGCACTAATTAGAGTTGAGTGGTTAGATTCCCGCCCAGGCGAGGATTGAACCCCGATACTTATTGGACAGAAGGGCAAATGGTCTGGACGCTGTGACGAAGAGAAAAGTTCAAGGTTAAGAATTTTGAGCTTACTTTAATTTACGTTACCTTACGATAATTGGTTATTGAATACGTGTTGTACAGATGATATTTAAATATACGTTTTGTTTCGTTAGCATTTCAGGATTGGAGTGTGCATTTTATGTAAAAATGAAGGCATAGTAATAGTTTATAGAAATAAATTGTTGTTTAGTTTGTCAATTTATCACTAAATTCGTTCTCCACTGTTCTCCGTTGTCTATACTCACACTGAGCTTGACTCTGATAAAATCACCGACTATAATTGTCAATAGGATCAATTTGGAAATAGTTTGGGTCGGCTGAAACTCAATTTGAAAACCGCTGCAGCAAGCTTTGGTTAGTTTAAGGTACACCTAATGGGACCGTAATTAGCGTTAATTGGTGCGTCTGGCTACGTGCTACGTACACAAAGTGAACACCGGCTATAGAACGAGCTATGGGTATGTGCGGTTACCACAAGCCTCTAATTTGCGGGTTAATTTACAATTTTGTTTTGCTTTTAGAAAGAAAAACTTTGGACTCGTTCCTGTGCTAATTGCAGTTGTTAACACAATCGCGTCGCCTTTTTGTGGAAAACTGTTTGTGCAATGGTTTCACCTCAGCATGTTCAAGTTTACTCAAGTCCAGTCATTTCAGCGTGTTAACAACTTCCATTATTCAATCTGTATGTTAGTATTCTAAAACCAGCGTAGATCAGTGTGAACTATATTGCTGATTTACGTGTATTATCCAAGATTTGCTTGATATAGACCCGTTTTGGCGTAAACACGCCCTCATCCGCGCTGGATCATGCTGTCACAAAACATTTTTGTGACGTCCGGTACTTTCAAACATTATCCAATCTCGTGTGTTTTACGCCGATCTGTTAGCACAGACGAACACACTGGTCAGGTCACCTAAAGCGTTGAGTCACAAGTCCCGATTTAAAGAAATTATATAACTCTGAAATAATCCCGCGGAAGCCATATTGAGCACTTAAGAAACGTAGCTTTATTGATTAGGGAATTATATTGCCTTTAAATCGAGACCTAATTATGAATCAGTTCATCTGTCTGATACAGCTACTTGCAAATTAAAATTCGTTTAATAATATATTTCCTAAATCGTGGGGAGGGGTGAGAAATGCGTTTGGGATTTTCTTTTGATGAAGTGTCGTTAAATGGTACAACATTCTGTCTTAATCGGTGCTGATATTCTCAGTTGCATAGTTTATATTTTGTGGGATGTCATCTGTGGGTTTATATGGGTTTTCTTAGTGGGCCCTGTAGGGTTTCGAACCTTTACCTCTAAGGCTGAACCTCTAGATCAGTGGTATTCAACCTTTTTTGTTCACGTACCCCCAGATATAATTTCTTTTAAACTCTGTACCCCCAAAGTTGTTGGTGTATAATTCAAGTTATACGTAGTATATAATCTACATCTAAAATAAATTAAATAAATTACATTACTGATTATTCAGTGTTTATCATAAAATAATTTTTTTTTAAATTTCACGTACGCCCTAAGATGTCTTCGCGTACCCCAGGTTGAATACCACTGCTCTAGACCACCAAGCCTCCTGTTAATATGAATATAAGACTCACTTCTTACCTTATGAATAGCGTGGAACTGAAATTCCCCCTGTTTTACGTCACTCTGAATTTCCCAGAGATATAATAAACATTTAAAATTTGCATATAATATACACGCTTATACCCAATTGAAATGCATGTGTTCCTTTATATGTCACAAAGAATTTTGTGTGTGTATAACAGTCGAATGCAGCAATGATAACTGTGGACATAAGGCCAAGAGGGAATGAATATCCATCACCTTTAAGGATAAAGCTACCCCTAGAAATCTGGTTTTTACCCCCCTCATACTTGGTTTATTGTTAGGTTGCAACAAACCTCCTACCCTATTCAAGTTTAATTCACAGTTTACCGACTGTGGAACGTCTCTGTATGTAGTCGTAAGCTCCAAGCTGAACCCAGATCAGCCGAGCGCCATAATAGAAGAGTTTGCTCACTAAACCAAGTTGCGTGGCATTCAGTTGGAAAACACGACACTAAATCGACCTGGATGTAGCCAATGAAGCAGCCAGACAGTTTGTAAGGCAGACAGTTGAATTCGTATCAAAATGGACCTTACATTTGTTCTGTTTAAATGGGCCCTATTGTACTGTGTTTGAATGTAATCGGTGCAATGTTAAGGAGATCAATAAATCGTCTTTTAAAGAAGTCTCGCTTTTCTGACGAGTGCAGAGTTTTTACTTTCGTTCTGTGTCGTGCGTGTGTCTGTGTTTTTTTTCTATCAAATGTTCGAGAAATATTATATTCTAATTGGAAAATAAGAATTGAGATTTGCAATTAATTAGTTTTGCTCAGGGGTTACTTGGGGTGTAAGTGGCAGTGGTTGAAGGCTGGGAAAATTTATATCGAAAATTAACATTTTATTTTTAAAAAAAAATACAAAAAATTATTTTTCGGTTATCTCAAAAACGTTAGGCATCTCTGCCACACTCTGTATAGTAAGAAATGACCGTCAAGGTTGACTGTGCGATGTGCTATAAGCTGAAGTTCTGTTCTGATTGTGGCGACTCTGGTAGCAAGAAATGCAAAACGAGGTGGTTTGTGGTACAGTGGAGTCTGAGTTTGGTTTCATTCCCCGTGAAAATACTTTTGACATTTAATTTATAAGATGGCTGTCCTCTGGGTTGTCGCGCCGTGTAGTCTGTTATAAGTTTACCGACGTTTCAGAGGTCCTTGTTGCCTCCTACACATTTAATTTAGTTATAAGTAAATTTTGTATATATTTTTTTCTGATTTGAGTGCGATTTGCAAAGAAAGTGTTTATTCCCGTTAAATTTTACGGGCCGTACATACTACGGTATCGTAAATACGCCTCGTACTTCCGTCACAGCGACCATATGCTGCTCCCACTAGGGTCTTGGAGTCTTAATAGCCGCCAGTTTGTCAACACGCCCTGAGCCCATATTTGCCAACGATCCTCCATTATGGTAACAAATCCTCGTCTCTTTTGAGGTGTGCGTGTGTGTTCGCTTATACTCAATTCGCAGCTGTCCATATTCGGCCTCTGACAATGGGCTCTGGGCATGTACAAAGAAGCAAAGATCCCCATGAATACGGGACCTTAGTAGACCTCATCCCCTCTGCATTCATGGTTCGTCCCAGAAGATTTGAGGTGAAAACATGTCCATTATGTTGACGTAATTTAGTGTTGTGTAAGCACTAAACGTCGGGCGTGGTAAATAAATATTTAATGGACTGTATGTCTATATATATATAGAATGGACTGTGCTCTGTGTTTTGTAAACAGCGATTTGTTGGCGTTGCTCAGACTTCAAATCATTATATTGAGTATGTGATATTTTAGATCGATTTGTTTTGTGGAAGTTAATCCTCAGGCGCATTTCGGCATAGGACAGACAATGCCTGACTCTTCTTATGACTTGGAGACGTCGCTTTTAATTAGTGTTGGTTTTTTCACACCCTTTGGGTACCGAGGGACCTTTTCTTGGGGATTAGAGCGGCTACAGCTTGAAGCTGATAACGCATCTTCGTCTAGTGCTGAGCTATACCTCTAATCCTTCATACGCCACCGTGACATGATAATTATATATTTTTTTTTATATTATCGATTGTCTTGAGGCATATTTGATGTAATTGACGTTTCGGTAGTTTTTGGCGTGCCCCCATTTTAAAGTTTCGGGAGGTGTTTTAATTTTAACAGATGTGAATTGTGATGGTTGTAATCGAACCCGGGACATTTTTGATACCAGGTTAGTATGGTAATCGCTAGACCACTGGTTTAGTGAAAATTTATCACATTTTTCAAAAATCTAAACGGGGCTCAGAGAAAGACATATACAGACATGGTAATCTTATAAATGTACCCCCCCCCCAAAAAAAAAGGAAAGAGAGTAGGTTAATTAGACATCAAGGAAGCAACAGTTTAACCCAGACGTTGTGACAAATAGGGCTGAACAAGTAGGATGGGTCTGGGTTGTATCGCCGTGTAGTCTGGTAGAAGTTCACCAGCGTTTCGGAGGTCCTTGCTGCATCCATCATCAGGGAGATGTGGACTGAACAATACCTGGCTTTGATCAGCACTGTTTAAAACTCACCCTGGTTCATAACGTTGCAGTATACATCCGTTAGAAGTGCCGTCTTGGACCAGTATTGATCAGCATTTCACACAAAACTTTTTTAATGAAATTTGTATTTAATATTTCGTTCAGGAGAAGCGTAAAAAAAATATTCTATGGTCGGAATTCGTGTAATGAAATTGAATCAGCCCACTTTTCGATTACCCGTGTCGTCTCCCGTTTCACAATTCCACACACATCTCACGCGAAAACAACGCCTTTCAA